TTCCTTTCATCAACCAGCTGGTTTTCTCATTGAAGATGGCAGAAGTGCTGTAATCTGTGAAATCACATTTTTTAATATTCTTTTGCCTTGGAAAGTGCAGATAAAAATGCAGCTTTATAGTCCACCCTCCGTAATAGTATTAGACAAAAAACAGGCAGAAACATGATCTTCTATATAACTAATCAGAATCTTTTTGCTGTCTCCATACATATTTTTCCCAGGGTGCTAGGATGGTAAATATTTTAGCAGAGGGAATTAACTCTACTTCTCTTCCTTTATGTTCTGTTATCAACGCGACTAGCCCACACCCTCACTTTGCCTCATTTTTGGCTCTGTTTCTAAACCCTAAAATTCCTGTTCCTGCATTGAAACACAATTAAATTGAGGCTTAATGTGGTGCCTGTTTTATGTAATCTTGCTTTCTGGCTTTTTTTATTCTTCCAAGTCTGAATCTCATGAATCAATGTGTATTCACGTTTCATCTGAAATGTTCTAACTCTCCTCAGTATGCCCTAAAGCTTCCCTTTTTTGGTTTATGAAATAATAATAAAAAGCTTAACTCTTCAGATTAAGTTGTAACTGCTTTATACATTAGACAGACAATTTCAGTTTAACAAAGTAAAAATGGTGTGAGAGAGAAATTGCAGCTTGATTATTTTTTAAAATATTCAGATTAGAATGTCATCTTTTATGAGGTTTTTTATAACCACTTAGATTGATACAACTCTCTAAAGCTGCTCTGTTTTTCATCACACGTTCTCATCTGCAAAACCTTCAGTTTTATTAATCTTTGTACAATCTGTACAACTTTGAGATTAATCATTTTAAAAGAGCTATTCTCCGAGCGTTAAGGATTTGCTGGGCTAATGGTAAATGCAAGTGCTTCAAAATACTCTACAATACATAGCACTTGCTTAGCGTCTTAAGTTGCATAAGTATCAGTCTTTCTTTCCCAGTTATCTAGAGTTACATTTTATGGCTATATTTCCAGGTCTGTTTCTGACTGCCTAGAACCAGAGAACAAAATATGCTGGGTCCTTGTTTCACCAACTAGCTCGGATTCTAAATATTTATAGCCCAGTTCTGCCTTTGTGCTGTTCCCGTTGAAGTTAAAGGGAGTTGTATATTTACAAGTAAAGGCAGAACTAGACTGTGAGGCCAAATCCTTCAGTCCTTGCCTGAACAAAAATTTCTGTTGGATCCTGGCAGGTCAGTTTGGCTGCGTCTGGCCTTGCTTAGTTTTGACTCCTTTTAGGACTTGTGGAGGCATCGGTCTAGTGTCTCCTAACTATAACTCTGGGCCTTACTGGGGATTTTTTTTTTTTCTTTTCTTCTTTGGTTAATTCAGGTGTTCACCCCCGGATTATCCCCCTGGCCTTAGCTGAATTTCTCCTGGGGGCTGCTCAGCCCTCGGAGCAGGGGAAGACACAGTGTAGGAGCTTTGGCCGTGCTTTCAGCCGTGCTCTGAGTGCACTTGCAGCAGGGCAGCGAGCGGCGCCCTTGGCCGCTCTCCAGGCTGCTGTGGTGTTGCCTGAGCAGCCCATCCTGCCGGGAGGGAACATGTGGCTCCTGGTCCCAGAAGCCTGTCTCTCCTCCTGAAGTACCAGTGTTTACCTACCCTGGACTATCACTGTTCATCTGAACAGCGCGGTATAATCTCTAATCCATCTGCTTTTTAACTTATAGTGCATATATTGTTAGCGGATCTGGGGTGTACAGTGTACGCATCGCGGTGCTTTGGTGGAGATCTAGGCTGTCATCTAGTCCTGAGAATCTAGTAGGACAATTTTGCGTTATTATTCTTACAGATTTGGTTGCCTAAATGTATGAGGCATTGTCTCTTTGCCTAGTTAAACATAGAGTGTCTGACTAGAAAAGATGAAGATTAAGAAATCTCCTATTCTCTTAAAATTTCCATTTTCTTAACGTACTGCAGGTATAAATTCATCAATTACTTGTATTGCTCATGTATGTGGGATTGCATCTGATCGTTATCTCTTATATGCAATAAAGCAGGTGTTTGAGTTTCAGTAAGGTATTTAGGAGATTTATATCAGTTCTTCTGTCCGTGCTTTTACTTCAGTATATAAATTGCAGCAATATGGAACAAGCCAACTGTGCAAACTGTGGTATATGTTTTGTGGCATACATCATGGATGCATTGAGTAAAGGGGCTGGAAGAAAAAAAATTGTATTTCCCAATGAGGTTGCTGTTGATGCAGAGTGAAGGTTGAAGTTCAAGAGAGCAGTGGTGTAGGGACGGTTTGTGAAAACTCCTTCAGTGTTCCAGTTTCTCCACTGACTGGAAAGAACATTCACCTGTTGATTTCCATCTCCCTGAAGGCAGATTATTCCATAGCGCTTCATAGTGAGTAAATACTATCTTAATCAAGAAATCTCACGTGATCCATTTCGCTGTCATCATCCATATGACCACGCTGAGTACCAGCCAATGTTGATGGAAATGTGCCCAATGTAAAATGGGAACTAGGGTTCCTGATTATTAAAGCATCTCTCCTAGGGAGCTGGTTAAGTAGATGGCTATTCATTACTTACTGTATCATGGGTCAAAAGGCTCAGAAAACAGGTTTTAATCTTCAAGGCTTTGCAGTTGTATGTACAGTTTTAGTGAAGTATAACTAGAAATAATGGGAGGAAATATGAAAAAGGCTGAATGTTGAGGAAGGCTTCCCAACTGTGCAATAAAAATTGAGATGGAGATCATTTGGAGGATCCCTCCCATTCATAGAGCCATTCCTTAGGGCACAGACAGGGTCTTTGTTCTGCTTCTTATTCCTGGGAGGAATTGTTACAGAACTGACTGGTCTTTACAAAAACAGTTATCACTGAAAGATGAAAACCATGTGAATTTGGAGGGAAAGTTAGGCTCTGTTTTATGGTATAAGCTTTTACTGCGTATTCCTGTTCCTCCTTCTAATGTTTCTGTCCTGGGAATTCTTCTTATCTAACTTTGTGTCTCTTGTTTATTGTAACGTGTAAGGTTGCTAGCACAGGCGTGAATGAGAGGTTTCACGGTTACTCAGGGTGACTAATGCTGAAGTTCGTATTTACCCTTGATTTGCTGCTACATTACAGATCAGCAATAGCTTCTACTGCAGAACATCCTCCTTATACATGGCAGTTCTCATTTAGTTTCTGTTTTAAAATGCACTGTTTAATTTGTGATTAACATGGGTATCACCATGGGTTGGGTGCTTTTCAACCTTTTTTTTTTTTTTTTTTTTAAACATCTATGGACTTGCTGCCTTTCAACAGAGAGGAAAATTCGATGCTGGTGGGAAACCTGAATTGAGCAAATGGTGATTTGTTACTTGCATTAGGGAACAAAAGGCCACATCTGGGCCCTGAGCAGAGAGGAGACCCTATTTAGTTGGACATGGTACATATCTAGAGAAGAGTTTAATCCATTTAAATCAGATAATAGTATCTTCCTTTCTCTATTATTACAGATAATACTACAGATCAGAGATACTTTTTTGTCACCACCCTATAACTTACTTCATTATGATCACCTGTTTGCCACTTAAAATTGAAATAAACAGAGCATACTTCCTAAAAGGTGTAGCCTTTGATTTGAATAGCCAGGTGGAGCCAGGATTTTAATCTAGTATCTTAAGCAACGAAGGACTCGATCTAAAGGAACACGTCTGCCAGGTGGCAGCCTGCAAGTCGCTATGGGGTCGAATAATCAGGAATGCGACCCACACTCTGCAGTAAGAGCTGTTCGCAAATACTGCTCCCCTCCTGTTTAGCGAGGTTCACAAACCGTTTAGACATCTCCCGCATTCCAGTTCCACTGGCTGTTCTGCAAATCACTTAAGAGGTTTAAAACTTCCTTGTAATTCTACTCTGCACATGAACTTTGAGTGAAGAGAAAGGAAGGACCAGTGAAATGAGAGTCTGGGCCTCAGGGACCCCTTCAAATTGCTATTGCAAGCATTTGGCAAAGACTGGGATAACATCCTATGTATCCATCTTTGTCCCTAGCTGTGTGCCCTTGGGCTTTGTTCTGGGCTTTCTAATTTCTAGTGCAGTGTAAAACATGAACACTTACTGTTGCCAAGGTATATTAATACATGTGGCAATGTACATGCTAATGTAATGTACTTATGTAAAAATAAAAACTAAAATTTATTTGCATAATGTTGACATTAAGAAGGTTGCAAACAGGAAACACAGCAATGTTTTATGTTCTGGACAGGAGAACATATGATTTTGGAGAATAATTAGATAAAAAATATGGTTGTGACACCCCCAAAACACAACAAAGGTTACAAATTTTAAAAATTATTGTGATGATGCTACATGAGGAATCCTGAAAATTTATACCTAGTAGGGATAGGCTGGGTTTGGGGTTTTTTATAAATTATTTTTATAAAGGGTTAATTTGTAGCACATCCTGCAAGCTGATATGTGGGATAAATAGTTTGGACACTGATTTGTAATCTCTGTTTATGAGTACATGACTGCTATTCTTATAAATGTCATCACTTTCTTGGTAGTATCTGGTAATATCTGAGTCATGAAGTGCTGACAAAAATCCACTGCACTTAACGTGAAACTTGAGGCATTTTGCTCATACCAAAAGATATTAGCAATAGCCAGCCCTACATTTAACTGATAAATAATGTGTACATGTGCACATGACACAGTTATGCTGCTATGTGGATTTTTTCCTCTTACCTAAAATCTTTGTGGAAATGCATCAGAGTTCAAATCACAACAATTTTTTTTTTACTGGACTGTCTTAGTGGATACTAATAGATGTATGTATGGAGTCAGTGCATTGTGCCAGCAGGAGCAGATCCATATGAAGGCAGAACAGGCTTCCCTTGGTGAATTTCATTTGAACTTGGATATCCTGGCTATAAAAGCAAACTCTGCATATGTTATCACCGATTTAAGAAATGAAACCTCTCGCATGGAGCTGAGTACTGAAAAATATTTCATTTCTCCATTATTCCCCTCTTTATTTACAGCCATACAGCAGGATATGAAAATGAGAACCACAGTGCTCCCATGTTATACAGCTGTGGGGCCCAATACAGAATACACACCCATGGAGTTTTTAGAGGCATACAAGTGAGTATAGTAGGGCATTCTTCATAGGGAAGCAAAACTGCTGCCTGTTTATAATGTTCATTTACTACTTCACTGGTATTTATAAATCCATCCTTGATTTGCGGTTTCCCTGTGTTATCAAGAAATGCTTTACATAAGTGTCCGGACTTCACTGAAACCGTTGAAGTATGATGTAAGATTTCTTTCTGACACAGTCATTTAAAATTGTTTATTTCTTCTAAAATATGTCTGTGAGACAATATTCCTTACCAGCTTCTAAGGATGGTCCAAAATACACGATCCAGTTTCCAACTTCTAGCTCCAGTCGCTTTGGCTGTGTGAAGCTTCTGTGGTTACAATGAACTATGTCTGATAACTGTATATAAGAAAGTGTTAGGTGACATTTTGCTTTTACAGATTTCTGAAACTTTGCTAAGTCGAACATATTTCCTTAAAACAAAATACAGTAAGTGATTGTTTCCTAATGACTAAGTAATTAGTGAATATTTGGAAGGAACTTACCATTTATGGGAGTTAATTTCCTCCCTTTCTGAAACAGTCATATCATCAATAAATACCACTGTAAAAGATATACCCTCTTAAAACTGATGGCAAAGTTATTACATAATATTTGTCTCTTTTGTGTTGCTCTGTGTTGTCAACATACACGAATGTTTTCACATAGCATCTTTTCTCCTCTTCCTTTTCTGTATAGTTAACAAGTTATTATTCAGTAGCAAGCTCTCAGAAACAGGCTTGTGAGCCAGCTTTTGTTGAGTGAATAAAAGTAAGCAGTTGACATTGTTTAAGGAAGTTAATTATCCCAGAAGGAGAAGATCATCATGATGGAACATTGTGACAGTGGCCAAAATGCATTAAGGCTGAACTATTCACCGGCTCCACCTAGACAGTCTTTCTGTTTTGTTTTTTACCAATTTGTTTTAACCCAATACATTAATTTCCCTGTCCTTTAACATCATATGAGTATTTAAAATAAAGAGGAGAATGCTACCCTGGCTCGTACAGTTATCTCTTACACTAGTACAAGCCTAAAACCATTTCATATGCCAATGAGTGTTCTTCCAGGACTGTGTGATTATACATGTGGTCAGAATGTGGCCCATTTAATCTTGCATATAAATATTAGTGAGAGAATTTAATAAGTAGAGGTCACTGTAATTCACCTGCAAATAATTTTAATACTCTGCAAAGTACAGATTAAGGTATACTAAGGTTGTACTTCCTTAATGTAGAATAAAATAAAATTGCCTGTTTGCAGTATAATATATTTAAGTATCTCTGTCATGGAGAAATGCCTCTGATGGTTTGTCTTTGAATATATTAAGTAAACACTTGAGAACATACACATTGCATTAACAAGTCTCTGTCGTTGTAGGATGTCCGGCGGGTGCCAGGAGTAGCTCCAACTATTGTCCGATCAGCAAGTGAGACAAATGAAAAACGTCCCTTCATGTGTGCGTACCCTGGCTGTAACAAGCGATACTTTAAGTTGTCCCATTTACAGATGCACAGCAGAAAGCACACTGGTAAGTGTCAGCATGGGTTGGTATAAATTATGTTACAGAACTGGACAGCAAAGTGGGTAGGGTGATTTTAAAATAGCATAAGGTGCAAGACATGATCTGCCAGGTCAGGGGCAGTGAGAACCCGTCAGATGAGTATGTATGTGCTCTGTCATCTGGGCAATCCCTCTTTTGGGTGCAGAAAACTCTTGAATCTAGTGAAGAAAAACACAGAGCAGTGCTGACAGCCAGTAGATCACCCCCCTCCCTCTCTTACTGTTACAGGGCATCATTCAGGGCTGTGAATCGTGTCGTCCCCCCATCCCCCTGTCCCCCCCCGCCATTTGGGAGCATCAAAGCTTGCTCCAAATCTTAACTGTTGTTAACTATTAAGAAGTTTCCTCTGCAAGAGGAACCTAGATATTGAGCATCCTCTTGTCCTCCTGTGTAAGCCTTTTCTGGTTGGGAGTGGAGGCAGGGATTGGCAAATGAGCTTCCTTGCTATGGGATCTTTCTGTGAAGAATTGAGCCTGAAACCAGTCATTTGTAGGATAAGATCTGGATTCTCTCTGAGTTCAGTCAATATAAGTTACATCTTAAAATGTGGAAATCAAATGCCCTGCTGCACCTTGCCAAAGAGTAAACAGAACTTTTTTTCCTATTGGGAGATTTATACTGTTGGAAATGTAAAATTATGATGTACCTTCAGATATGCTCCTTGTGCATTTTTTTGATTGCCTGTCATATTTTTGTTTAGACAGTTCTTTCTGTGCTAATCTAGAAACCTGTGGATAAAAATCTGTAAATATAAATATGGATGTTCAATTAGCCATTAACATGACAGAAGGTCAAAGGGATGAAACAGACAACAGGAAGGCATCTATACTGCTGTAACCTAGCAGATTGTCTAATATTTCATAAAAAATAGTTGCAAGCTTTTCCTTTTGGAGACCATGTGGTGACATTAGTTACTTGCGTAAAATACTTACAGGTGAGAAATGAACGTCACAAAGTATTTTTAATTGCTGAATGGGCAAGTCACAAAATATTCAGATAGACATCTTCAGTGTCGCTCAGATTACACATTCAAGATAATTTAGATTGTACCTGGAATTTAGTCTCTAGAGATGAAGGTCTACAGAAACGCTATTCTATTTTCTGTAAATAAATTTGAAACAAGAAAATTTGGAGATCTTTTGGGGTCCATTAACTGCAGTATTTTTCTCAAGTATGCCTAGACAGTTCTGAATTTTTCTCATAATCACTATTTCTTTCATTCCTAAATTGATTTACTCTGTATTTTAACAGTCATAATTTGTTTGGTCTTGTCCTGTATTTTATTCCATTTAGTTGCTCGGCTTTTGCAATATTATTTCTGGATGCATCACAAGGACTTCAGCTTACATCTTCTTTTTCCTTAACTGGAGAAGATTTTCAGAATGATACCACATATAATCTAGGCATGTAGAGTCACAAAAGCCCCAAAAGACATAGGGGATAGGACTAGAGAGACTTCTCCCATTGGCTTTGAGGTCATACATGCCTCTCCTTTGGTTTATGCTATAGTGGAACAGGGTAGAGGAAAAACATTTTTTTCCCTTCAAACATCTCTTCTGTGCAGGTGGGCCCAGATCTTTCTGCCACTATATTTTGATGTGTTGACAACAAAACTTATTTATTTCTCAAACCTTGCAAATTACTTTCCGTAAGAGGCCAACTTGATTCCCAAAGCTTGTATTTGCCGATATAAACATTGCCATTGATAAAACCACGTAAGCTTTTGAGGTTGGTTGGAGGTTGGAGCCAAAGAGGAAGCAAAGGATAGTGCACTGCTGGTATGAGAATTGCTTGGGTAACTTGCCTGGCTGATGCATTCAGATTTAAGATCAGGAGGGAGTTCTCCCCTTTATCGGGCTGGCAGGGTTTTATCCTCAGCCTGTTGTATGGGTATAGCCATTCTCTCTGATTTTTGCCTGGAAATTTTACTTACCAAATTCCCAGCTGCTGTAGAGGATTAGAATATGATGCTCTTCATTTCTCGTCTCCTCCTGTGGTCTGTTAGTCCCAGTTTTTGGGAGTGCTTGGTGAACTATAGTGTATGGGAGCACCTGGAGTGGATAGTCTACAAACACTTCTGATTTATTTTCTTGGCTGCTTGGTGTGGTGGAGGGTCTGGCCTTGGTGGTCATAATGGACTTTTTCAGTCCCATGCTCTTGGGGAGTCCTGTGCAGTTGAACTGACTGTTATGGTGCAAAGCCATTTCCAGTCTCCTTTGTAACTTCATGTCTTTGTCTGTCTAACCCTGATTTGTGTCTCCTGCGTGTGGAAAAGCTGATTGTCAAAAACAAAATTTGAAAAACAGTTTTCTCCAAGGGCAGATCAGTCATCACTATGAAGAATGTGTGTATCTTGTTGATAACAGTTATGGTAGCTACAGTCTACACTTCTCTGCACCTTCTTTCTTTTCTCCACCTGCTTGTTTTTATATGTTAGGGGATATCTTAAGGGGCCAGTATGACTCCAGTGAGGCTGTTAGTTTATGTTGATAATTATGTGGCTGTCTCTTACGCTCTGTGATCACCTTTCTGTCTGTAACCCAGTGAACTCCAAAACCTTATTCTAGAGTTCTCTACTAGGTACAGAAATTGGGCTTGGTGGAATTAGCATATTAGACAGCAAGTAGTTGGCAAACATAACACCTAATATTCTTACTAAACAAAGGGATGTGTCTCTTCCTCTTCTGCTTCAATGTTTTGATGGGGAGTAATGCTGACGAGCCAGTCTAAAGTCAGGAGAGCTGTCAGATGTTGGCTTACGTGGAGGATAATTTGGTTGTGTTTGGTATACCTCTCTACAGCCGACATAAAATTTTGCTAGTCCTCCTGTGAGGTGGTTCTGGATTCACTCATGGGTTTGAAGCTCTTCCACCTTCCTTAGTGTAATGGTAGGTCAATTTTTTAAATGATGAACACATGATTTGAAAGCAAGCTGTTACATATATCTGATACTAAACCAGCAGATAGTATCTTTGCAGAATAATGTTGGCTCTTGATTATATTTTTTCTTTCTATAATAGATACTTACAGAGGTCTGGCTCATCAGATCTTCCATTCTTCACCGGTTGTAGTATTGCAAAATCAAGCAGGGCCCTGAAACACGAAGTTGGATTCTGTAATCAGTTTTTACCAATGTTTCAACATAGCCTTAGTTGAAAATATGTTGACATTTTGTACCCTCCAAGACTGCTTATCCATTGTTAACAATGCCTTCATTGAAACATGTACAGCTAAAAAAGCTTTTTTCTTATCTTGGTGTATTTTGCTGCAGTAGATAGGCCTCTGAAAGGAAATGCAAAAATACATACAACTTTTCAACAGTACAGCAAATAATGTGAGTTGTCATCCTGTGGCAGACTTCAGAGACTTCTTTGCAAAAGCAAATTGATGTCTAGACCTCCATAAATTTCATTTATGGTGGAAACATCAGCATTCTTGCCAGAGACCCTTTGGTTTCAGTGCCACACATCGGAAAAACTGGCTTTATCGTAATGGAAAGCTGAGCATCTGTGCAAAGAAAATCTCCCTGCCTGTTTGCCAGGGATATTCTTCAGCCTAAATGTGCTCAGCTGCAGGTATGAGCTTCTACAATGAAGTATGAGAATCTGTACATCAGGAAGGTTGTCCTTATGTAGGTAGGGGACTCAGGTCTCGCTGGTGAATTTCTGAGGTTCTGGAGGCTGTAAGTAATGCAGTCTAATAATTATTTTTATGCTAATCATCTAACAATGGCTTCTTTGCTTTGACAAAAACAAATATCCTTTTACTCTGGCATGTGCCGCTGTGCTGCTAAATGCTTTACAGTCATTAGTACAGTTCATAATTACAACGCCTTTGAAAGACAGAGCTCTGTCCTCTATATACAGAGATGATAAATTGATAAATGGGTGTAATTGTGCCTGAGCTGGGAATTGCACAGGCTCTCCTCTGAAGAGTCCAGTGTGGTAACTTCTAGGGTAGCACTCTTTCACTAATGTTGCATTGAAATACCGACCTTTGTACTTAAGCCACAGAATACCATTCTGCAGAATACAGTGGAAGCTGAAAGCTCACGTGGGTTCAAGAAACAACTGGACTAATTAATGGAAAGAAACTCCATTAATGAGTGTTAAACAGAAAGCCGCCTTTGGTTTAGAAAGTTGCTAACTCATGAACTGTTGGATACTAGGAGAGTGTCCAAGGAAAGTACTGCTGCATCCTTGCTATCTTCTGCTCTCCTGCAGGCATCTTTGGTGAGCCATGGTGGGAGACTGCTGGGCTGGATGGACCTTTGGCCTCACCAGCACGGACTTCTTTTAGGCTTTCATTTCTATGGCATAAAATAAGAATACTTATGTATTCAAAATACAAGATCAGTTTCAAAATGGTAATGACATCTCACACCTGAACTATAGTGTGAAGATGACAGAAAACGTTACCTATAAAGGCTCCCTACTAAATGAAGAAAATCTAAGTTTGCTAAAGCAAATTATATTGAATAGAAAATTGTTATATTAGTGAGGTAAAGTTGTGATTATGGGGTTGTGCTCATTTGATTAAGTGGGTATACAAGAAAAGGGGTTTAAATTGGTGGAGTATAGACTTCAGATTCTCAGACTTGCAGTCTCTGGTTTCAAAATCACCTTACTCTCCTCATGTTGTCTTGTTATCGGTGGGCTTTTGCTCTTGCAGCACTCCTTAATTAAATGCAATGATTATGAATATTTTGTGCAACTGCTATTAACAGTAGAAAATTCTGTTTTCCCATGCGTCTGGGCAAATGAATTTGCTCCGGAGAAAATGTGCATGCTTCCTCTAGTTTAAGTGAACTATTTTTGAGCAAATAGGTTTATTTTATTAGAAGCATTTATTGCAATATGTGCAAAAACTGATTCATACTTGTTCTGCAATTGTTGAGCTTTATTTTTTCTAAATATTTTCCTAAATATTAAAGAACTGCTATTCCCGCTATCCTTTCTCATCTTGACTATTTCATTATGCACGAAGTTTAGCTTCTCTTTCAGTAATGAAATGTAAATAATCATGGAAGCCTCTGAGTTGCAGGTGGAAGGACTGGTGAAGATTTATCTTCATCTCTTGTTTTGTTTTGAAATTGTATGTGGTCACATAGGAAGGTGACAGCACTATAGGATTTTTTTCATACATTGAGAGACTTCAGCCTTTTACTGGAGAGGCTTTAACAGGGCTGGGGAAGCTAGACACTGCTCTAACCCTTCTCGGTGTAGTGACTTAATGAGGTACTAACAGAGTTTTTCTAATGTGGGACTGTCGTCTGCTCTGATGAAACTTATGGGAGTTAACAGGTATGTGACAGTTGGCTTTGGCAGGCATTTTGCTTGGCACTAGCTGACATGGAAGATGTAGAAGGAAAGGGAAAGGAAATTAGGATTTCTGTCCAAATATTGTGCTTCTTTTTGTTTGTTTGCTTTTTGTTTTCTAAGCAGCGTCATCATATCTCTGTGTAAGCACCTTGGATTGATCCCTTTAATAGATGCATTGGTTAAATTTGTCCTTAATTTAATCAAGATTCTATTTCAAAGTATTTAAAGAAATACTTCCATGTGCATGCCATCAGACCTGCTATACTGTTTTATTCAAATACCTCCTTAACCATCTTCTGCGTTTATATTGCAATTAGCAGACAATCATCCTGTCACTGCATTCTGCTCTGCTGACATTCCCCCTCTTAAATCTGCCAAAGGGCTGAATTCCTTGGAAGTAAGTGGTTTCTGAAAAGCAGGCACCCCCCAGGGAGTCCTTGCGGTCAAAGTGTATGGAACTATTTCAAACACCTGTGGCAACTTTAATCCCTTATGCTAATAAATTAAGCACAGCAGACATGGAAACTGTCCACACCTAGGTTTGAGAATCAGTAAACTCCTTTGGGTGACTGTCACAGGAAGTTGGCTTGTTTTTGCAGATTTAGTTGCTTTTGTAAAATTTTGATCTTAGCTACACCAGTATGAATTTGGAATGCTGTACTTAATATGCTGCTTATACTGTGTCACCTAGATCAGACAGCTTCTGCTTTAAACTAAACTAGTTTGCATTGTTATCTCAGAATACCAGTGCAAACAGAATACATTTCCTCATTGTAATAAAATAAAAAATGCAGACACTTGCAATGAAGATTTATGAAAGTGATAGGTGTTTAAAAATATACCCAGAGAAATTAAACCCTCTGTCTACTTCAGCTGATGTTTTTCTTTAGGTCCTTCCTACTGGACCTTTGTTTTACATCTCAGCTTTGCACTGTAGACAAAGCAGGTCCCAGCTGGTCTCATGTGTACCTTCCAGATAAAGCCCAGGATCCTCCCAGCTTTGCAGTGAGAGATGTTTCCTTACTTCTTGTGCTGAGGCCTCTGCACAGGGCTGTGGCACTGTAACCAGACTTTATGTAGGTATAAATGTAATTATATCTGAGGCTTTTGCAGGATTCCAGTGTTGTGCAAAGGGGCCTTAGGCTAGATGCAAGACAGATCTGAAAGATCATACAGCTCCTCCTGTAACAGCATAAGGATTATTTTTTTCTGCGCTGGCCAAATTTCACCAACTCTGTGTTGGTGAATGTATGCTACATGCCAGCAGTGTTTCCCTCTTTCCTTGAGCTCCTTGATTGCTGCATTTTTTTTTGCATGTTTGTGTGGTTGGTGAAGTCCTTTGCATTGAAAACCATGTTCATCTGAGACATTAGCTTGTAGGGATTTCATTTTTTTTAAAAGTCAGAATCTCACTTTTTGTCCCAGAGAAAACCCATCCTGAGGATCTCTGCTGAATCTGTATGGGAGGTGGAGGAAGAGTTTATATTTACATGAGGCTTTGCAATAATTCACAGGCTTGCCTGCGGGAGGTGTGCAGCTACAATGAGAAATTCCATTTATTGGTGCTTTATGGAAGAAACATAATTTGTGTTTGGGGGAAGAATATGTATTTTTCTGTGGTTGAATTTTGCTCAGTTTCTTTTAATTCGTTTAGTGTGGTTAAAATTGCCACCTACTTGGATGTCATTTGTTTAGTTTTTGCTTTAAATCCAGTTTCGAGCAAACTGCAAGTTGTTCCCTTGTACAAATTATGTATTACTGAAACAGGTGTAAAGGGTTTAATATGGTTTTCAGAGAAATATAAACCAAGAGATTTCTGTTCTTTTCCAGCAGAAAACGATAAAAAAATTTCATGCAACCTGAAATTTTGTGTAGCTTTAACCTAACCAGCTATTTTTTTAGAATGAGCAGATTCAATCTAAGTGTCAATGCAGTAGAATTATGCCAGCCTTTCCCCACTGATTCTAGCACAGTTGTATGGCTTTATAGCAAATGAGTCCTGGTGTACCACTAGACTGCTTTAGACAGGAGAGAAGTCCAAGTCTTTTAGTGTAACATGTTTCATCTTCTGATTCTAGTTGACGTGTTCCCTCATTTAGCCACATTTTCTGGTAAACTGTTTGTCCTTTACAGGTGAAAAACCTTATCAGTGTGATTTTAAGGACTGTGAACGAAGATTTTCTCGTTCAGACCAACTGAAACGGCACCAAAGACGACACACAGGTTTGTTGGCAACACATTGCTACTCATTAGAGTTCATCTTTACATGTGAATTGCGATTCAAAAAGTATACTTCTAAACTTCTATTTTTCTGATGTTGTGTCTGCTCATACATGATACCTGTAGTGCCAAATTCTTGAAGTTAGCTTTAGGAGAGGACTGCAGCTGAGGGTTTTTTGTTGGCATTTCAGCGCTACTATGGTTGTATAGGTGACCCTGTATTCCTGCCGCCATCTTTTTGAAACAGCTTTCTTAATGAAACTGTTTGCTCTCTACTGTATCACCAATATAGGGAATATATTACTTTTAAGAACCGAACAGTTCTGCAACAAAAAGTTGCCAATGAGTAACCTGATAAACACTACTGTTGGCATTCTGATGTTTGTGTGGCAGGGCTAATAGGTGAGTGCTGCCTGTGCATAACCTGAAAGGCTGGTGGAATTACTGTGCATTTATATGTGGAAAGCAGAAGTGGAGAAGCAAAAGCCACACTAGCTATAATGCTTAAGACCTGAATTCAGCAAACCACTTAAGCTTAGATTTGAGCCTTTCTTGAATTTTGCCAACTAAATAAGGATTCTAGGAGCAACAAGGAGAGAAATGTCAAAAGATCTAGCTGGTTGGATTGCACAGATAGCCTGGAAAGTGTATAGCAGTTCACATGCAGTGAAGAGGGCAGCAGCAGTCATGAATGGGTCTGGGTCCCAGCTAGACTTGTATATCTTTCTCTGTGAATCATTTACTGGGTGAAATGTTCCGAGACAGCCAAAACTACTTGTGAGTTTTGTCCAAATTCAGCAAGTTGTTTTTTGCGCATACACCATTTTCTGGAAACTTCAAGACAGCCCATTTCAGCATTTCAGGAGTTCTTGGAGGTCTAGATTAGATTGACAGGGGAGGCAGCTGCCCTCTTCAAAGTCACAGAAGAGGAGATGGTGATGACTCCAACCTCCTAGCTGTGAGTGGAACCATGAGGGCATTCTGCATGGAACATGAGAAAAGGCTTCAGAGTACTCCTCTGACCGACTCACAGCAAGACATTGCATTTGGGTCTCCTATATCTCAGGGAGTGGCCTGACAATTGGGTTACTCACTGTTCTGTGGAGGATTTCTGCCTACTACTTTTCTTGCTAAAGATGTTCTATCCCACTCAAACGATGTTACTGAGAGATGTGGGAAGTGTCTCTGAAAGCTGGTAGTAAAAGTACTCTGTTGGGATGTTACATTTTTAGCACCTGCATGCTAGAACATAATCTGTGTTAAGCAGTCCCGAAGACTTAACGTGTAGTGTGTAAAGTAATAGAAGTGTAAGGTAAATTAAGCCTGTTGGGAGCATATAAAAATATACCTCAGCACCTCTATTCTTCTTATGTCATATTTGCTTATACATGATACCAATAGTGCCAAGGCACAGGATCAGAATTAACAATGTTTGCATATCCTCCTTAGTCCAACAGTGTAAGTGGGTGTTCACTTACGATGGTGCTGTTTGGATGTTTCAGACCCAGCCATCAGAAGAGGAGGTTACAAAGGGATGGTAGCCTGATTAATGACTTTCCGTAATGTGTAGGCATGAAGCTGGGAGGAGCAGTTGCAGTAATTAGTAAAAAAAAATCCAGGCTTTTGAAAATTCAGAAATAGCTGATTTCATTCACCCTTCCGAAAGGTGTTGGGACATAAAAATAGATTTTTTTTTTTTTTTTTTGTCTCTTCAGGTGTGAAGCCCTTCCAGTGTAAAACCTGTCAGAGAAAGTTCTCTAGATCTGATCATCTGAAGACTCATACCAGGACTCATACAGGTAAAACAAGTGCGTAAACTTTTCTTCACATTTATATTTCATTATTTTTTAAGTTTAAATCAATATTGTTGTAAATTACATGATTAGAAAGTCTCTTAACCAGGAGTTAAATATTCAAAACAACAGGAAGAATTCCAGACTGTGGTGATTTTTCAGTGTGACTACATTCCCCAAGTGTCATAGTCACTTTTCACAAAAGAATTTAGGTGATTTTGGAAACTATGCTTTCTTCCTTCATGTTTAAAGAAATTTCAGCTTGGCAAAATATATTTTGTCAGCTATTGTGAAATGAACATCATGGTCTCAGCCCACAAATGTCAAGTTGATCTACTGCCTTTACTGAAAAAACCCTACAAGATAGAAATTTTAATTCTAGCTTCAGCCGAAGGTCTGTAATCTAAAGCACTCATGCCTACTCATGCTTCTCCTAAGTGTCAGTTGAGCCTAATGCAGGATAGCACGGCAAAGCTCTTGCTGTTGCTGCTTGTACTGTAATCTCTCCAGAAGATAAAAGGAATGCCTTTTGCAAACTCACACTGACAGACACTAAAGTAAAAGCTTACTCAAATATTCAAGGACCTTTTTGTAGAAACCATAGTATTTCATATAAATGCAGGTCAAAAAACAGGAGGCCATTTTAGTCTACTCTGCCCTCATGTAAACACCATTAAGGAGAAACTGCAGCAACCTCCATATTTTAGTTTTAAGTTTTAGAACTATTCCTATGAACTGGCATTTTCTATTTCCTTCCACTATATATGCAGTATTTTTACCAAGTAATTGTTTACCGAGCACTTTGACATATTATTAGATGTCACAGTGTTTTCTATACTGGTGTTAACCTTTCAAATTCAGTCTCTGTACAGATGGACAAGGAGCCTGAAAATCTTTTTCTCCCTCCTAAGGATTCTTTTTTCTCTTCTGGACCATAAAAACACATATTTAAGACTTTCAAAAATAAAAGAGAAATTTTAATAAAGGAAATGATTCACCTGAGAACAATGGCATTTTCTGTGGCACTGGCCAAATAAATGCTTCAAGTAATGGCTGTATCTACACTTGCAATCTGCAAATGGTAAAGGGCATGGCTGTGTTCCTGGGTTCTCCCCATAGTCTCATGCTGAGCTGCAGGGCCTGGGTCTGTGTGCGTTTGCATGAAGAAAGATATTTTCTTAATCAGCAACAGGTAACATTCTGGTAGAGACAAAACGGCAAGTGGTTGTCACATGCTAGCAAGTCAAGATAAACTACATTCCCCATCACATTTCATTGCTAACTGATCTGCTAATTCATTACTTTCATGAGTCCAGTAATTTTTTATCACAGATTAGCTAAATCAGTGAAGAACTTGCTCTCTTTTTTCTAGTGAAACTCATCTCCCCGTTCTAGTTCTTCCTTGCCCCACGTGATCCAAGCCCACACTGCACTCATTGCTGAAAGCAGCTTCACTTGAGCACTGATAACCTCATAGCACGGACCTTTGCGTGGGCTTGCTGCCTGCTGCTGGCTCAGGTTCTGTGTGAGCTCTGCAGCCCAGCTGCGTGCTGCTGTGATGATGCTCCTGTCAGCAGTTTTGGATGTGTCGTGCTCCTTTGACTGTAAAATACACATATCCTGAGGGCAGTGAGCACGAGTGGTGGGTGGGGATTTTTCGTCTCCATCTTGCCCTGTAGCTTCTTTCCTCTTTCTTTCTTGTACCTCCAACAAAGCACCTAGCTCAAGTTAACTTGCTCCGTGTTAAATCTCGATGAAGCAAAGCACAGGTGACTTCCATCTAATTCCATCCTAATTTTAAATCAAATGCCAGACTATTTGTTAAGCTGCAAATTCAGGTTTTTTTTGTCTCCACAAGCAATTTTACTGTGCCAGTGATCTTTGCTGTAGAAAGCAAAAAAATGAATCAAAGGAAAATTCCATACACCTATATACATTTTTAGCAATGGAAATGTGAAGCTGTACAAAGCAATTTGTGCCCAGCACAGAACTAATAGGGATTGCTGCCCCCTGTTGCGAGAGGACAACCAGAATTGCTTGTGAAACAGTAAAACTGTTCTGCTTTTACTGTGGTAGTTCAGTGAAAAACTGGCCAGTAATAGATAACTCACATCAGTTCACAGAATGGTTTTGCTAATGCTGCTGAGATGAAAGAAGACCACTTTATATGATCTGTGATTTTTATCAGTAGCTCTGACCAGATCAATTTTGTCCCATGCTGTTTTATGCATTCATGTGAGATAGTTGATGCTTTTGCCAGCATGTGTGTTAAGTGGATAAAGTAGATTTTAAACACCCCCCCTAAATATATGGCACGGGATTTTGCAAACAGAAATACACATTTATGCCAATCCCAGATCCCCTTTTGCCTGAATTTGGATGTTTGTGAAATGCACAAAGTGCGAGGCAAAGAAGAAGAGAAGATGTCTGGGTGAGTTCGTACCACCCCATTGTGTCTTGAGTTGGAGAGTATGAAGTGTGTAGACAGCACTGAAGAGCCCAGTCCCAGAGCTGAACCTACTTTAAAATATTGTATCTATTTTTGGGGAAAAAAAAAAGAAAATGAGATTCTAAAAGAAACATGAGTCACCGAGCACTGCTCTGAGCTAATGAAAGCATTCCATCAGCATTCCTGCGGCATCAGAAACACGGCCTGAAATTCCATTTAAACATTGTAGAAAATCAAGAGACCAGATTAAACTGTAAAAAGGTGATGGCATTTCTTGCTAAAATTGAATGTGCTTTGCTTGGGGTCATTTTTAGTGAACATTATATTCATGGGCATGTTAGAAAAATACTGAATATTTTGAGCCTTTAACATCTCCCATAGAGGAGAATGTACTTTATTGAGACAGTAGTGGGAAACTTTCAGTCTGGCTCAGCAGACTTCATGCTGAACTCTGTTGCTTCTACCATATTCACTTACACTCACCAGTTTCAAAGAACTTCAGCCAAAACTCATTGAACGAGCTGGAAAAACTCTCCTTGACTTGAGGTCAAGCTCTAAATAGTCACTGACAATTTTCACAGTGACTAACAGTGTGTCTGCACCACAGTCCAAGGTGTGACTGAAGCTCGTGCAACTGCCAGAGTGACTTTTAAACTAGTTCGTTCAAGAGCTGAGAGCAGCGTAGACATGGCAACACGGTGTTCAGTAAGGGCCTGTCTTCAGGAGCAAACCACTGCAAAATGTTCTACGTCATCTGAAAAGGCTGTTGTTAACGATCAGCTGAGGGAGATGTAAGAAAGTACTGAGCGCTGATGTGAGCAGGAATTGAGGGCACTCCCACACCCTCTCAGGACAGCCCGGGATGCCTTTCCTCCTGACAGGGCCTCTGCCTAGCTCCTCACAACCCTGCAGAAAGAAAACAAATAGCAGTGTCTCAGGCGAGCTGTATACCCAGTTAATAACAGGGTGTTTTGTTAACAGGTGAAAAGCCTTTCAGTTGCCGGTGGCCCAGCTGTCAAAAAAAATTTGCCAGGTCTGATGAATTAGTTCGTCATCACAACATGCACCAGAGGAACATGACTAAACTGCAGTTGGCCCTTTAGACAGTTCAAACAAGTGAATAAACCAGATGGGACATTATGAGCTACTGCAAACTTTATCAGCCATCTTCGATCACCTCTGTCAGAAAGCTGCAGCTGTCTTCGCATCCCATTTGACACAAGTTAACTAAACCGTAGGATTCTGCTCAGCCTTGTCTTCCATTTGGACTTACACAAGTTCCTATTCAATAAGTTCAAGAGATTTTTATTTGTAATTTTGTTAAAAAATAAGCAAGATGGCCACAGTTTCAAGATTACTATAAACTGTGCTTACCTTTCACATCTGTCTCCAGTTTTCTGGTTTTATTTTCACTAAAACTTTTCTAGGTACATATTGTTGTACCTTTTTAACTCCTGCAGTGGGTAGGGTGATTCCTCCCTGTTGAAGGTAAGCTTTACGCTTACCGCATCCGTGAATGCGCTGATGTTTCCAAATGCTAGTACAGCTATCTTCACAAAATGAGGTGGAACAATCACCCGAGATACTTTTGGTAAACTTTGTACTCGTACTGCCAAAGGGCAAGCTTTTAAAGTTGGAAGCTCTGCTTTTGAATTCCACAAATCAAACCTTTTTTTAAAGGACATATTTCTAGAGCAGCTAAAGGTAGATGAACCAGAGCACCTCTGTACAGAAAATAAGAATCTTACCATTAAGTTAACTTGTTTTTTAAATAATCACATAATTGATCCCCCAAAACTGTTTTGTTTGTCAAATAACTTTCTCCCTTTCTCTCTCTCTTTTTAATGTATTGGTTTAGATTTATTCTATCATGAGATGCATAGATCTCCTTTACACAAAACTAGTTCCAATCATTGTAGACATTTGGGATTTGTTTACAATGTAAAGCCACACTGGTTATGTGGCTAGCAAGCTGTATAAACTTAAAACTGAACTTTTAATGGGGCTGGTCCAGGATCTCCATTAACAGATTACTCTTAAGATAAGTAACTTAAAAAGACTCTTTGTCAAGTATATGTGAAAAAGACATTATTAGTGTAAGGAAATATATTGTTTCAGGGTTTTGGGAGGAGGGGTTTATTATTTACTTTTAATTGCTTGAAATTGTGTGTATATATATATATCTGATAATGTATTGCTCTTAGACATCTAAAATTAGAAAGTGTATAAATATTAGATGCATCACTGTTCTGATGTTGTTGCTGTTACAAACTATTGATAACACTAAGAATGTAACCTGCATTTTTCACTGAGCTTTCAATTAAAGCCCATTCAAAGAGAAACAAATGAGAGTCCAACAGATGTCTTGTTTCATGTCTGGTATTAAATTTCAAATGCCCTGTCCAATAGTATCCTTTTTTTTTTTTTTTTTTTTTTTTTTTTTTTGTATGTAAAGGTACCACCAGCACTGATGACCACTAGTTAACCTGTCCAGGTCTTGACCACAATTTATCCATCTCACTTGGGAATCATACTGGCAGCAGCAAACAGTGTCAAGTTTCATATTGTGCTATAAAACAGTTCCTTCAATTGTTCGTCTTCTTACCAAACTATTCCTTTTCTTTCGACCTGTAAGACTTGTATAAGAACTTTATAGAATAGTAAAACCCAGTTTATAAATAGCAGTACTGGCCTTCTGTAGAACTGCGCTGAAATCATAAGAACAGCTAACTTCTTAGATTAGGATGTCATAGACTGACTTCTAAGTAAAAGTTAACTTAGAGTTGGGGTGGCTTAAATCAGAAAAATGAAAAAGACAGTCTTTCTTAGATGATGAAGTGTGAAAATGAAGATAAAAAAATATTACTGTTTCTTTGTCATCCTGCCTACTTTTCTTTGGAAGTAAGTACAGCCTGCCTCAGCACCCTTTGACCTTGCAAAATATTTGTATCTCTTTAGCAAAAATCTTTAATGTATCTTGCCAAGCTTTTTTCTCTAATGTACACAATGGAGTTCTATGATGGGTTGAGCTTTCTCTCTTAAAGTGCAGCTGCATCGTCAAGAAAACTCAACAGTTAATTCTTCAAGTCCTCTTTTTCGCATGGGTATTGCATCACTGTTAATTACTGTTGGGGTACTGTGACTCATTTGTATCAGTCAACTTTATCTTTTGCTGCCAAAAGACAGCATCTCTCTGGAGAAACTCATAACAAGTGTGGCAAACATCAAATATTTGGAGCGAATGGTGTACATAAAACTGCACAGAATTAAAAAATAAAGCAACTCCTCCTGCTTTCTTGAGAGAAAAGTTCAGTCACAATAACAATGTCCTCTGATTTACCCAGCAGTCTTCTGCAACTACAAAACAATCTGTTTTTCAGTCTGCACCCAAAATAGAGAGCTGCCATGAGTGTTTATACTAAAAGCCAAAAAAAGAAAAAATCAGCCTTCAGTTGTGCCTGCATTAGTCAAACATAAATAAAACTATCTTTTGTGAAATACAACCAAAACTCCACTGCAGAACAGGCCAAACTTCCAGTGACCTGTAAATAACTACAGTCATGGTTTTGCTGCTTAGTGAACTGCATGCCAAATAATAATGGTAGATGGCTACAAAAAGTGAAGCGTGGGTTGATGAGTGACAGAGCATGTCCTTTTGTTCTTGCTGTTGTCACTTTTTCAATGAAAGTCCTTATTGCTACTCTGTTGTTTGATGGTCATTATACCCCCCAACCCGCCGAGTATGGTGAAGGCAATGGTAAATGTTTACAAGGTTTTTTAAAATTTTTATTCCTAGTTATTTTACAGTCTCTGTCATGAGAGGCATTTTATCTCTCCCTTTCATTTCCCTGCTTTCAAGATTCTATCAGCAAGGTAAGCCACCTTTACTGAAGTGCTTTACTACATGAATTTCTCAGAAGCAGCCTCCAGATGCTGGTTCTTGCAGCATGCAATTCCTCATTTTGTGGCAAGAAGAAACTGCACAGCAGGCTGAGTGTCTGTGAGCTTGACCTCCATATGAAAGATGAGGGGGCTGCATTCTATTATATCTTACAAATATCCTTAGCTCTCTGGAAAATTTTCAGTCCCACAATTAACTGAGCAAATCTTTTATGCCCCTGCCCTCTGTTCTTAAACTGAAAATAGTGACCGATGTTCTTTTGGCTGATGGTTAATGTCTTACTGTGATTGGCATACTATTCCTGTCCTGTAGCTTCCATAGCCCCCGAGAATGGGGAATGTTAATTATATAGATAACACTTCTACTTTTTCTTGTCACTTCATCATGTACAAGATGTGTTGGGTAGGAAAGGGAATGTGATCTCTCTCTGATGGTGTGAGCTGAGATTCAAGGGTTCACTTGTGCCAATTTGTGTTAAGGTAAGTGAATCCAGCAAAGTGGATTCCCTTCTGTGTTAAGAAGACATGAGAGCTAACATGCCTAAATTGTAACCACAAGATCATACTTTTGGTGCGTGTCATATTCTTTAAGGGTGTGGACTGTACTGACCGAACAGGAGGTATGAAGACGTTCTCTTGCTGCAATTAGGCAACCAAGCTGAAGGCAGTCCATCCTTCAGACAGGTGCCGATTCCTGTAAGGGGAGGGGGGGACCTTGCAAAAAAGTAGCTCTTTGCTTCTCTTTCCATGGTAGGTTAGGCAAACTGTTCATTTTAGAAGCCACTCCAATCAGGCCTGTCTGTTTCAGGATGTCAGTAGGATTCATTTCACTGCTCCACCAACCAACCTTACAGCAACTGGGAACAGTTCCTGAAGATGCAGGTAGGTGCCTTAAACCAGTGTTTCTTCCTCCTTCCCTTTCCCCAGACAGACACTGAGAAAACCCTATCTTGTGCAGTCTTTTCCCATCATCAGCGTGACCTGACAGCAAATCCAATATAGTAAGAAAGCTGCTCCCAGCACCTTGTCCAAAAGCCCGGCAAGGCTCTGGAGTGGATCATGGGGCTCTGAGGAGGTGCCTGCAGCCCCACACCTCAGAGCTGCCTGGACCTAGCATGAGGTGGGTGCACAAAGGCAACCAGCATGCAGGGTTATGCTGCCAGAGGATGTGCAAAAGTTCTACTGCTCATTCCTGCTCGAGCCCTGTTTTTACCTTCTCTCTGGGGCAAGGACGGGCAGGGAGAATCACTAAGCTTTTCAGTTGGGGAACCCTTCCTTGCTTGGGTAAATTCCTCCTCTCCCTCCCCTCCAATTAACAAAAAAGTAATTAAAGGCAGTGTATGCAGTTCAGAATGGCACTAATGGACAGGAAAGCCCAGCTGCGATATTTGGGAAGATCCAATAAAAGATTCACTAGGATTCTTTTAGTTATTGGAAGTCCTGATGACACGAAGGACCCTAATGAAACAGAAGACCTGGTCACAAGAGCGATGAGTTAAAAAAAGCCCAAACCCAAATCCCAACCCCACTGACACCATTCTAAAAATTAGACAATTAAGAGTAAAACCAGGAATGTAGCCAGAACTATTCCACCTCAAATAATAAACACAAGGATAAGTTGCCAAGTGAGGTCAAAGAAGCAAATGGTAAAGTGAGTTTAAGAGACAGCTAGACACTTTTATGGGGAGAGAGGGGATTGAAGGATACAGTGACAAAAACGGGGGTAGAGCTGAGATAAACCCAGAGGACAGGCACGGTGGGCCAATAGCCTCAGAGAGTGCTCTGGGCCCCCGTTGCTCGGTAGAGGAGCAGAGTGGCTCTTGGCGTTCGGGGGAGACTTACCAGGGCTGTTGGCAGTGTCCTCTGAGGGACGAAGGGAAACTGCCAGAACAGTCTGAAAGGAAGATGAGCCTGGCAGACAGAAATGGATGTTCTCTCAGATGCACTGGTCATAAGTGCTGCCCTTGGTTTCACTAGTGAGATGCTCTGGCAGACTTGCTAAAAAGCAGGTTTTGAGGATCTTCTGCCCAAGCAGCTTGTCTCCTTGCAAGTTACCAATGCAAAGCACAGAAAGAGGCACCAAACGAAAAACAGAAAGAATTTTTTTTTTTTTTTTCACTTTTCATGAAAGACTACTTGTAATATAGGAAAGAACAGGGTTGGCTAGAATATGATTCAAATGAGGCAAAGACAAAATATACGA